GTTGGATTTGTTAAATGTATAAAATTACAAAAGCAGTGTGCGTTTAGATGATGAAATTGCTTACGACATTCGTGTTGGTTTCGACACTTCATGGGGACGAGTGGGGGTGTTATAACCAGGTGGAATTCTGTTATAGTCCATCATCATTCATATTCATCAGACAATTTGGATTCCATTTGATATGAAGTGCTTCTGATGATATTAGACGATCTTTGTGATTTCTCAAATGCTTTTTCTGAATTATTTCAATATTGTCAAAATCAATTTTGCGGCCTGATTCTTTAGCGTGTAGACAGATCTATGGCTGATGATTTCTCAAGCTTTTCTAGTTCACTAACTGGATTTCTCAGTGGTCGAACAGAGTCGTGTCTTCGGTGTACATTTATTCTGATTTTCACTCCTCTTTGGCGCTGTTTGTCCGATGTATATCGCATCACATTACAAGCACTTTATTTTGTAGATACAATTAGATAGAGAATTCTTAGGGATTAAGTCTTTTACATGGACAAGGTTGCTTTGTAGTGTGTGAGTCTGATGTTTTGAAGAAAACTCTGATGTTGCGTTTATTGAGTACTCTTCTGACATCATATGGCGTCTCTGCTGTTTATGGAATGACAACCGTTGAGGTCCATGTTTTCGGAATACATTTTCAACTATATATTCAATATCAGTGTTGATTTTGTTGATGAAGTTGTCTGGGTAGTTATTTTGCCTTAGAGTCTTAGTAATGTTTGATATTTCTTCTTCTTTTTCCTTCCCACCCATTAACATCAAAGAGTGTGCTGGTCTTAGAAGACTTGAAACAAGTGATGCCTTTTTGCTGATGGGGTATGATGGTCCGAAGTCTAAATATCTGTTGGAGTGAGTGGGTTTTCTTCCTGAATACACATATACTAAAATGTCCGTTTTGTTTTTCATTCATTGGGAAATACAAAGATAAACCTTTATTATAATGAATATATCATATACCCAATGCCTGAATTTTTTCAAACTGTTAAGAGTGAACTTGGTTTGCACATTATTATTATTCATTGTTGGAGTATATGCGCAGCTCTATTCATCAATATTAGCATATCAAAACTCAAAATTACCTCAACAGTGCTATTAGGCAGCCATACAGGCACAAAACCAGTACTGTCGAATAAAATTATTTAACCGCAATACATGAGAAACAAGTAGAGTAGAGTATTCCCAAGTAGCTGAAATCAAGACTTCATCAGAAAGAATCACACACAATCAACAATCCTTGCTAACAGTCCAAGGTCAGAAAGACCTTGATTCACTCAAACAAAATTGCAGTTACGAAACAACACATCATCACCATGATCACACAACCACAAAGAGAAGCCATAGAATTAAAGATTAAACAGGAACAGAGATAAATAATGAGGATTAAGTCAACATATGATATTCAAAGATGGGAACAATGATATACAATCAGTGAGAAAAAGGGATGATACTTTCAAAGGATAAATATTGTAATTAGATCGTTCATGAGGGATTATCCAAACAATATTTTCCTTATAGTATCTTTAGTTTCATTCTACTGTATCCATAATTTAATACAGGGCTTTAAGCTTTAAGATATCAAGTTTCAGTGGCGTTTTTGTTGTTTTACGGAGTACGATTCTTGGTCTTACTTTCAGTCTTCCTTCTTTCTTACTTTGCTATCAGCTAGAAGAGGTTTATAAGTACATCGGCTGGGAGTCGAACCCAGACAAGTTAAATGTACCATTAAGGAAGTGTGTATCTCCTTTTGTTAAAACACTACTTTTGACAACACATGAACTTGAGAAATATTATACTACTATCTACATAAATAATTGAAACATTTATATCCTTGAATTTTACTTAGAAGTTATACTTTGAAAATTGGTGTAATATTGTCATTGTAAAGTGCATTATTCACATGATATATTTGAAAATAAAAACATTTTAATTGCTTTTCACGGGTTATTACAACAAGTAACGTGGGATACATTTGGATTGAATGAAATTAGATGTTCAATAGGAAGCCTCTTTTGGAAATATGATGGCGTTTGTTTTAACATATATGTGTACTATATTATACGATGTGTCGGATACTGCGTGGTCAGTATCTACAATATGTTGTAATATGGATGAATTAATACCTCTGTGTTCTCTTTTGCTTCGCCAAACTCGGAGGTGCTCTCAAACGAGGCGGGATATGTTTCTCGACGAATATACTATGTACCTAGCTCTGCAAGAGCAGGTGGAATTAGGCAATCGAGGTAACATTTCCTTGACATTGAGATACACCAGTGGACGGCTAGAAGAGGTTATTCGTGAAAAAGGCGGCATAGAACGTTTTTATCAGTGATCTGGTCAGATAATTTTTAAGTATTTCACTCGCAGTGTCATCCCTAAATTCTAAGTTTAGATGCAACAATTTTTTAGCTACCTTATCAATCTCTGTATTTCTCCCTCTAACTTTGCTATTGGTCTCTACGAAGCGTAGTGGATATCATAATAAGCGTAGAGGCAGTAAAAATATAAAAAAGATTTCATGTTAGATCCTGAGCGCTGATATCAGTTAGAGGAGCATTAAAAAACAGAGAGTACTGCCTTCATCAGTAGTGTCTTATGACAGAACCGGAGATCTATCTCCAGATAAAGAGACGAGCCTGTTGACCATTAAGTCACTAAGATGAAATTCAATGGCGCATGAATTTCAGCTGCCGCTCTACAACTCGCTCCTAAGAAAGACGTGTACATCAAGCTAACCTGTATGAGGTATCATAGCAGCTTGATAACTAGACAAAGATTGAACGCTGCTGTTACAAAGACATTTTATGCAGCTAATATCATAATAATTGAAAATGTGAAGACATCTAAGCCTTTTGAACATGAGAAAAATGATGTCACATCCCAATGTATTTACCAATTCGAATGTACGTGTGGACACACCTACATAGAGAGGACTCATCGATCTCTGCAAGTAAGGGATTCACAGCATATTCCTAAATGGCTCCAGAAACAAATGGAATCTTCAGAACCCATTGATGGTGAGAACAGGAGACCTAGGTCCTCTATTTCGAAACATATTATGGAGAAAGGACATAAAATTGACGTTAACACATCTTTCAAACCTATCTATAGAAGGTGTTCGAGGCGTATCCTAAAGTTTGTGGAAGCCCTAGCTGGCAATTAGAAAGTTTAAATCACCATTATGCGTTCAGAGCAACAATTTGTCATCACATAAAACTTTACTTGGTAAACTTTGTTTTGATACCAGCCACGACAGAGATGTAATATTACCTCGCTTCTTTGGTTTAGTAATCGTTATTGTGTTTTTTTACCTTCAATATATCCTTTTAACTTGACCTAAGTTTAGTTTCTCACCTCTTAACTCTTTATTAACTTCATATATATTCCTATGACAAGTCCGTGTGTGATCAGATTGTTCGAAATGTGTTGCGCAAATGCTAAATTACACGATTCAGACAGTCTTCTTATTGCTTTGTCTAAATTCATAAAGGGAACTAATTATTTTTTTCAAAATGTACTTTTAGCTGTTTGAAATGATTTCTTCTCGTTCACAGGATGATTATTTCTTTACACAACAGCCGTCTTCATTTTTTCAGATTCACAGTTTGAAGAATGGTTGGCGGTATGGCGGTATGGCTAGTTCCCCCAAGTGGCTAGCCAGAAATCGAGTGGCATTAATTGGTTCGGTTCTTTGGGCTCAAGTCAAACTGGGTACAACGCTGATCAGCTCGACCTCAAACCAACGAAACAGCCGTGTTGTGTTTTGATTACCTAGATCTGGTCAGCAAACACTACTGGTTGATATGAGTCGAACGCAATTACTCATATCAATTAATCACCAATATATTTTTTTATAATGGAGGAACGGACGAGGATGTCAAATAGAGAATCGGAAAGGCGAGAAACACATTCATCAACCTGAAACTAATCTGGAAATCTTTGTCACTCAGCATCAACAACAAAATTCGGATTTTCAATACAAATGTCAAGTCAGTTCTTCTATACGGATCAGAAACTTGGCGGGTCACAAAGAATATTTCCAACAGCCTGTTGCGGACCTTTATCAACAGCTATCTTCGCTATATACTGAAGATCAGATGGCCGGCCGGAAAGAATCACCAACAAGAAACTATGGGAACAAACGAAACAGGAACCAATCGCCCAACAAATATGCAGGAGAAAGTGGAGATGGATTGGACACTCACTGAGGAGGCCGCTGGGTGACACCGCGCGTCAGGCCATAGTTCGAGTGGAACCCGAAAGGGAAGCGGCGAGTGGGACGTCAGTGCAAGGGTGACATGGAGGAGATCGTGTGAAGAGGAGCTGAAACAGTACCGATCAACATGGACGCAGGTGAAAAGTACAGCGGAAGACAGAAGCAAGTGGAGACGTGTAGTTGAAGCCCTATGTTCCACTAGGAACCCAAGGGAACAATAATAATAATATTATAATGGCTCATGAATAAAAATTTACATGTCAACTGTTGTTCAAATTACTACAAATACTTTCCTACTCCGAAGGTAAATTAACACTCTGACTGTCAAAATGATAAATTCAATTATGTTGCAATTCAGTTGATGGTGACTGGCATGGATGCCAGTTTCGTCCTATTTGAGACTTGTCAGCTGGATGTACCTGCAATCTCCAGTGAATAATATTTTACCCAATGAAATTTGAACAGTGTTATCCGCTAGATCGATTGGGCCATGAGAGTCAACCTCTTGCGCAATGGGTATCAAGTGAGATCACCATAGATCACTCAAGACTGCAGGTATATCTAGTTGATGAGTCCTAAACAGAACGAAATTAGCATCATGGATTCCAGTGAGTAATTTCTACAAGTATATGAGTTACACGTCAGTCTAAAACAGAATATCTTAACCTTAAGACATTTGAAATTCATTAGATGTCGACTGCTTCTGCTTCCATAACAAAAACTTGCTCAATTATTTACAATCATAAAAACATACTTAAAAAAAAATAAAATTCACTTACGTATCTGTTATTTTACAGCATGTTTGTTTGCCTAATGGTCCACAACAATATTTCATATCTTCACTTTGATTTGGTTGAGGACATATAAATTTTCCAGAATTTAATAAAATTAATTTTTTATTTCTCAGTATATTCATATTACTACTACTACTACTACTAATATTCATATCAGTATGATGATGCATAGGATTATCAATATGCCTCCAGTTTTGTTTCGATTCATTTACACACCAGATAACACGTCCAATCACTGGGGGAATAGTTGTTGTCTCTTTCCATAATTCACTAAATCCACTATTCACTTTCAAATTATTATCATTATGGTTATTATTATTATTACTCTGAATATGAGTGGTATTCAACACTGTTGAAATCGCGTGTTTGTTCGATAATTTATACAATTCTTGAATAGGTATACATTGTACAATAAGTGTTATGTATAATTCCACAAAAATTAAAACATAAATTTTATTAATATATAAAAATGAAAGTCGAGTTATACTCATGATTATAAAATGTTTCATTTGAAATATATTCATATTACAAGTATAATTTATATCTGGTGATCTCAAACAAGATTTTTTTTTTGGTTCTTTTTTTAATACATGAGCAAGTAACAACAGAAGAACTGTGTATTTCTGAATGATCTCTTATACTGAGTTTTGTCAAGTAGTTTTTTATGCCTTCTCTCTATGATATGTAGATGTTCATAGTTTAAATCCTTCATTTTTGTAGCGATTTGATTGGCTCTTCTCTACTTGTTGGGATGCAGAATTCTGATTGGTTAATTTTTAATGATTTATGTTACTATTGTCACAATAGTAATAAATAATACTGATGGGTTATTGTTGTTGTTGTTGATTTGTAAGAATTTCGATTAGTTTGATTCATTCGGAGGGCTGATAGGAGTGTGAGAGAGAGTTTTTCGCCTCTCAGGAGAACAAAACTTCCCATGCATACTATTACATGTTCACTGAATGTTTGTCTTTCACGGTACAGAAAGAAAAAAAGAAGAAAACTGCTACAAGGAAACAAGTGTTTTCGACTAGTTCACGGGAGGGGGGGGGGAATAAATTAGTGTTTCAAATTAACATCAAAGTATCGTGTATTCACACATCTTGATGATATCATTAGGTGTTTTTTTAAAAGAGACTGTCTGTAATTATGTAAATGAGACATAGGGTAAGAAAAATCTTGTTAAAATATTTTAAATAACAACGTAAACGAATTATTTTGTTCTGTGTTTTCATTTTATTATGTAATTAGGAGAATTAGAAAGTATCCTTTGTTACATTTGTGTTTAACGTAAGACAGAGTGATGTTCTTGATAGAAAGAAACTGTAACATTTCGACTAGACATAAATAAAAAAATCCCTACAAATTAACTGCTGAAAATTAGTCTGACACGCACTAGAGACTGACTACAGGAAAAAGTTTCCTGTAGTTCTAGTGAGAATTCGTGGACAGTGGGGTCATTTCAGTTGGGAGTGAGGACAGACACTCGCTAACAACATTGGCTAGAGACCACGCTAAAATTAATATTTGGTAGAAGTTAAAATCCACAGACAGTTATGTCGGATCCCAGTGGCTGGATGGTCTACGAGATCACTTTGTAACCGGAAGATCCTGAGTTTGAACCCCAGTGGATGGGTTATAATAATGAGTCGCAATAGAGGACGAAACAGTCGTCCAGTACTGGCTACTTATATCATTTCGCTGTCAAACTTGAAAGAATTCCAATCCCAACGGAATAACTCTTGAGAAAAGAAAATCCCAATTCATGCTTAGAAGTAACACATGTGGAGATTGAGATTGCTGAGAAAAGGTTTACACGTTTCCTTAAAAATGCCTGAGGTACACCAATGTTAATCTGATCGCTAAGAATGGGCAGCCTGATTGAATCACTGGGGGCACTAATTTGCCTTCCATCAAAATGTACCCTATTTACTCTTTTGCATGTTGCCTTAATTATCCAATTATTATTTCTGAATCATAATTTATACTTACGCATATATATACTACTATGGATATTTCGCAAGAAACAGAGAAAAAGTATAGCAGGCTATTAAAGCGTGATTTGAATAGAAGAGTGTTGCATCAGATGATACATATATGTATATATTACCAACCTCGCCTGGTTTACTAGCTCGCTAGTTTTCTAGCCTGTGCCAAACCCGAATAAAGAGGGAACGTTGGGCGTGAGATTAGCTACCCTACCCCATAAAACCAACCAAAGTGATGCGTAAACTTCAGTTTACATGATGAATATTAAAAATTCAAAAACATTAAAAAAAACAGTTTATTCTTCGCTGGAATCAGAGAGGCAAGATGACACAGAGGACCGGTAGAAGTCATCAGATAGCCAGTCAGCAAGCTAGCATATCTTCTTTCAATGAAAGCAAGAATAAGCATGTCAATGTGGAATGTTCGTACAATGTACAAAGCTGTGAAGACTGTTCAGATAGCCAAAGAAATGAGAAGATATGTTACAGAAGTGCTTGGAATCTACGAGGTCAGATGGAATGGATGTAGACCTGCCAAATTGTCAAATTCTGGGTCAGTAATCTACTCCGGTCACCCAGATGGCGACCACGAGCACACTGAGGCAGTGAGTGGCTACGATGGTGTGACCAACAGCAGCAGTGGGAACCATATATATATATATATATCTTACCGATTATTAATTCACTGGAAGATTCCACACTCGAAGCAATTACATAGCAATAGAACAAGCTGACAGTTCTGCAGTATGTATCAAAGCACTGTTACAGAATAAGTTCCTTATTATTATTGTTATTATTACTATTGTGATTGTTATTAGTGGCTTAAATACTTTCAGTTAAGCCTGTCATCATCATTTGGGACTACTTATCAGATGTATTCAATCTATTGGTGTCTTAACAGTTTTTGTGTTGTCCCGCATATAAAACATCAGGGAACCATGATGTTTATAAGATTTGACAGTGTGAAATATCCTCCCATATAATGAAATAAAAGTCGATTTGAACAAAAGATATTCTTTTTATTGAACACTAATCAGTAAATAGTGTATGTGCCTACTCCTTTGTTTGGTGCAGACTAAATTCTACCAGTGAAGTTTGTAATGTGACCACCATGTCACTTGGTGGCTCGGCGTCATGATGCACTGTGAATTGTCGGTATTTAATGGTTGGAGACAATCGGCCACACGAAGTCTTGCTTGACCTGAGTTGGTACTCATCAGCAAGGTGTATCGGCAATCTCGAAGGAACTCATGTCCCTTTTGAGATTCGAACCTGCAACATCCAGCGCCGCCTGCAATCAGAGGCGTTACCCCTGAGCTATCTGAGCTCTTGATTGACGTCCTGTGGTACTGTATTGGATATTTTTGATTGGACACTAGTCAACAACTAGTCTCATGCATCTTGTGCTATCTTTGGTCCAGACTGAATTCTATCTAATACCAACAATTCACAGTGCACCGTTATAGCAAACCACCTAGTGACATGATGGCGACATTATAAACTTGACCTTTAAAGTTCAGTCTGCATCAGCACAAAGGACTAGACACATTACATTAGTTAAAGAATATTCTTTTTAATAAATTACGTATCAAAGTGAACATTTATCATGTTCAATAATTTTCCATGTAATTTGTACTCATACGTTTCTCTTCTTCTTCTCAAACTATCTTCAGTATTCTGATATTCTGAATCTTTTTTCTACGAACAATATTCCTGTTTCCAAGTACTTACAGTTATAAAGATAATCATATCCGAAGGAAATACTGTACATAAGCTTGAAATTCAAAGGTTCCAATAGCTTCCGATATTATTTAAAGAAGGATCTCACAGTCCCTTAAAAGAACATTCCTTGCTGCATCCGTGAGAATAGCCTTTACCAGTCGACCTTTACTGTTCAATAAACTGAAGGACAAGATCCAGCTGCTGACCAACAGTGTGTGCGTTTATCAATCCACTTGCTCATGTGAAGCTAGATTTATTGGTTGTTCGCCTCAAGCTTTGTCCAAGAGGGTGCAAGAATACTATCCTGCATGGTTACGAAGAGGTGGAAGTGGAGCAATAAGAAGCGCAATCATTGAACATCTGGTTTCTAATGATCACCCTATCTTTACAGCCTCCGCCTTTGAGGTCATCTACAAGGCGAAAAGTAATATTCCCAAATCACTACCTATTCGATTCATCTGTATTGCCGAAGCCTTGGCCATCTAGACAGAAAAGTCACATCTCTGAATACAGAAAAAGTTCGTTCAACTTCTCCAAACGTCACGGTATAAATCTCTCTATGCTAAAGTATGGTAATCCCCAATCATATTTTGGTTATGCTAATTTTTTGTTTTACTTATTCAAATTGTATACACTTCCTTTATTACGTCAATTGTTACCATTACATTTCTCACTATAAACTTTCCCGCTTGTCATTTTAAATGAATTTTTGTTTTGCAACGTTAAATTCTATTTTATCGAATTTCACAAAATGCTAAATAACTTTTTTATTTTTATTCAATTTGTCTACTAATCCTACAATTGCATACCCTTTCCAAGTTCTATACATCCTATGAATTATTCTGTATATGTCACTAATTGTGTTACCACTTGACACTTGACTATGATTATCATCACAAATATTTTAATTGCATTTCATACTACTATTATTATTTGATGTATTCACACCTATGATTCAATTCTCTCACTGGATATAATTTCTTAAAAACTGCGTATGCATATATACGACTATACAGGTTGATAATAAATTCGTTGAAAAGAGTCACTTCTCTAAATGACTTGTTTTGACTTTTTATATGTCCCAATGGGAATTCTCCGAGTTATTGTTTTACCGTGATTACATCTTCAAGCATATTAGTGATGAACTTAATACTTTACTCCCCACAGGGTTCATTAGTTATATCAGCTAGGGATTTTTCATGCAACAACACATCTCCACTTTCTTCTATCTTCTGCCGTCCTCTTCAGCTGGCTAGCCCCACGATTGCCCATAATCTCTCCTGTCCTCCTCCCCAACACACGATCTCCTCAGTGTCATTTGGAATCAGTATCATTTGTCCTCTGAGAGATTATTTGTTTTGCAGTTAGGCTTGTGTGTTAGTTTGTATTAAGACAAACGGCATAAATCGACTCTGTTTATCTTATTTTGTTGATTCCAGTACGCTATCTGAAGTGATTCAGAAACACAGTGGACATCAGTGATTATTTGTTTCATTGTTTGTTTCCTTGTTTATCTATCATTTCATTTATCAGTCTATTATCTTATTTTTTTCTTTTGTTTATTTTCAATAGTCTTGATTTTTTGTGGTGTTAAAAAGGAAAGAAAATTGGTGAATACAAACTGGGTTATTGTGTAGCGATATCGAGTGATTATCTTATCTCCTCTCGTATCTTATAATTGCCACTTCAACAAATACTCAATTGTTATAAAATAGAGGGTCAAGTAGATATTTTATCTTAAGACAGTTATCCAGTTTACTGTGTGTGTGATAAAATAGTTCGGAGAAAGAAAAACCAATTAGCTACGTGAAGTTTCACTGCTGGTTTGATATCACTTAGAGAGGCATTGATAAACCACTACTGGAATACTGGATAGATGTTTCATCTTAGTTTGGGACTCATCGACGGTATACACTCACTGAATTTTGAACTCAGTTCCTTCTGGTTACAAGTC